AAAATGTGTCTCGCCTATAAAAACAGCAGGGCAACGTGCCAACAGAGAAGAGAGCTAGGAAACTGTGTGTATGCAATAAACTGTGATTTTGCTAATCCTTATCAACCAGACAATATACAACATTTGACCAGGAACTGTTATAATTTTCGAACGTCAGTGAATTCTCAAACGTTAATATCTGTCCAAAAATATTACTGATTTCTCATTGGCCATTAGTGGTTGTATGAAAATATTAGCATACTTTAACAGTCCAACAATTCAGTGCCTGACAAAGCTAGCTAGTTTCTCGACAATTGTACTTTAGCGTTGAAATATTCTTTTAGCAAAAGTCCATTTGCTATATTGAAAAAATAAGCAGCGAAAACCGATATACAACAATGTTGTTCACGAAGACGGCTGCAACTGCCTGAGGCAAAACAATCAAAGAGAGAAAAATGCTGTGAAGCTACTGGCAAACAACTTTGACTATAGACCAAATAGTCAGCAACCTGATTTAACATAAAATTAATATGAAAGAAGAAAACTGAATTTCTAATTGAATTGCAGGTATCAAAGGAGATTAGGGATAAAATTGAGAGCAAAACAAAGGGATAAAACAGAAACCCAAAATGGAAAGAGGAGAGAAGTAAAAGATCAACAGCTTCACAAGTATGCAAGATGAGAGAGACATCATGTGCTTGTCTCGTAAAACATATTTTTACATTGACCTAAATACACCAGCTGTTGAATATGGCACACAAAATGAACAAACTGCAATTCTTGCATATACCACTTCAACAGGTATAACTGTCGAACCTTCGGGCCTATTTGTAGATGTCCAAAACGGATTCTTTGGCACATCGCCAGATGGACTGATTGGAGGTAATGGAATATTAGAAGTAAAGCCAAAAGTGCTGATTGTATTTCATTAAATTGAAGCTTCTAAAAATATGAAAAACTTCTGTTCTGCTGTGGAAAATGGTAATGTGAAACTAAAAGAATGCCATAGTTATTTCTACCAAATTCAAGGGCAGCTGCATATTACAGGTTGAGATTTTTGTGACTTTGTTCTGTGGACACCTAACGAGATAAAAATTCAGAGAATAAAGAAAAAGGATAATTTCTGGGAATCAAAAATGTTTCCCAAGTTGTATCATTTTTTTATGGAAGCTTTGCTATCAGAGATTATTGATCCCAGAATGATGAGAAACATGGCTATCAAGAAGACACCTTACTTTGTTGAGGCCAAAAAGAAAAAAAAAGGGAGAGAGAGAGATAAAATCTTATGATGTAATAAAAAAATAAACTTACATTAGATGAAAATAAGTGTTTTGCTTTATTCATTACATGTACAACTTATAAATAAACCACCTAACACTAATCTCTTCAGTAAATAATATATCTCCTTACAGACTTTCATTTATTAATAAAAGTGAAGGCACATAGTGTTTATGTACAGTTTGTGTAAGCCATACAAGGGTTTTACAGACAAATTCACAGAATAGTGCATTGGTAAAGTACTTATGGAAAAAAAAAGAGTAGAGGTGAGACCAAGTAATCAAATAATTCTAATAAAATTACTATCGGAATAATCAAATAAGAATACAAAAACAAACTAATGAAAAAATTAAATAAAACTTTGCACTCAACGAAGAAAAACTTCAACATATCTGAAGGTCACTCTCTGATGTCATATTACAAGGAGTTACAAGTTCTGTTGCAAACAGTTAATGTATTTACTGTAAATTACTTTACACAGCATTTTGTGTTTACACGTTCGTATGTGCACATTCTTTATACATACGGTCAAGACAGACACACTTGTGATTTTTTTTAATCATGTTATTTTGGACAAAAACAAACATTTTTACCTTAATATTTGCTAAAATTTTTAGTTCCAATTAACATAATTGCTATACGGCAATTCCTCAAATCCTGATTATTTACCATCTCTAATGAAAACTGTCAAATATTATAGTGTATAAGGTCTAAAAATGGTAATCTGTTATAAGATGCTCCCTAAACTGTATCAATTTTATTTTTAGATACTAATGTAACAAGCTTTTGTTCTTAAAGGTAAAAGAAAGATGGAAGTCAGAAGAAGGAAAATAAAATGAACACTTTCAAGTATTATGATAAATATGAATATAGTGTATACATTAACTGGGATTCTGTACATTTTAATATATGGTAAAATTGAATTATATTAAATAGCTTTCTAAAAAGTTTCTTTGAGTCTAGTTTTGGTACATTTTTGTGGATCTTTGATTATCTTCAGAAACAAAAGTGGTCCAACATATTATCTCTCACAATGATATGTTGGCCAGCAGATTGTCACCTGCTAACCATGAATTTCAAAGATATTTGAAATATATAGTTATAATCAGTATTGTGATCTGCATTTGTTATTGTGTGCGAGTTTTTATGCATTTATTTTATGAATCGACCTTTACGTTATGAATAAATGGTTTTGTTTTTACTAACTGCAAGTATTTTCTAGTGTAAATAAAAATTTAATTAATATTTTGTTCTTCATTCATTTTATCAGAGTTTATAATATATAGCTATTTTCTTTACTTCTATATCTTTTTATGAAGTTCAACCACATAAAATTTGGATTGATGTTAATTTTCATCATGTAATATAAAGAATATTGATAGGGTCAGATTGGCAATTTAAAGGGCCAGCCCAAGCAATATCACTAATAGCACGCCAATAATATTTCATGTGCTGCATACTGGCTAAACAAGAATGGAACAATTGCTTGGCTGGCCAATCTGCCCTAAATATGAAAGAAATGCATTATAAAATGAATTTATAAACATATTCTATATTATGCAGCTATTTCACTGTAATATTATGAATATCAGTTTTATTTTTGAAGCAACATTAAAAACATGTAAAATTACAACTTTTCCGACTTTTGGTCTGTTTCGAACGCGACTAATGTTGATGAAGTCAGCCGGGCTTTCTCTAGAAAATACTGTTTATTTACTACACAGAAGAAGACACATTGATAACTGTTTCATCTCACACTGCACAGCATTTCCTGGAACATTCCTTTGGCTGCCAAGCGAAAAGCACGAGACACGTAATATTACATCAGTCAGGTTTTATGTTTTATTTGTTGAGCTAAAGGTCAAAAGTTAATTTGAAATCAGACCGAAACGCTTTGTTATGCGACCACTGGGAAGGAAGAAGTCTGAATATAATCTGACCCTCCAAGGACGCACACAACTATGAAGTACCCATTCAGACAGACAAACAGCTATGGGACTACTTATTTTTTAGTTTACAGTCAAAAAATGCAAAAAAAAATATATAAATATAAAAAAATGTAAACTGCAATGTATAATGAAATATAAAAGTAAAAAAGTTATTATTTTGTTTTTACACATGATCATACAAACTGTGTAATGATTGTGCCCATGTATTTATAGTTTTATGTTATCTATCTACAGTCGTACGTGTTGAGACTATCTTCCAAATACTGTCACTGTAAAAATCCCCACATAAACCCATGTCCAACAGAAATTAGCTGTAATAAGGTTTCAGTTTTTCTAAACTGAACTTACACAGTTTATGAAAAAATAGAGACGAGTTGTTTACTTCTCAGTTCACAGAATGTTTACTATACTATAAATATTTTATTAGTATGAAGATTAGTAGGTAACCTAGCAAGTAGTTTTATACAACAGCTTATTACGTAGTTATATTTCTGTATTTTGAAATCATAATAGTAAATAAGTCTTGATAATTTCTTCATATTTTATGTAATTTCAATTGTCATTTCCCAAGTTTTATTAGGTTTCAAGAGGTGCATTTTTATACAATTCTTGGCAGTTGATTATTTTTCCACTTATTAAGAGGTGTGTCATTTTTCAGTAGTATACCACTAATTAGACAATGTAGCTGTAACTTGCCACAGGTTACTTGACCTTAACGCTGTGAAGAATGGAACATTTCAAGTAAACACTCCATAGTATGGGTGATAGTTTTCCCGTAATATGTAAAGTGAAAAACGAAACCAATATAATCACAATGATTTTATTATGCAGAAGAGGTTGGCATTTTTATGTACATAATCATATGCAGTATAAAACAAATTTATAATATTTATTACATGGGAACCCTAACTTTGGGAGTAGCATGCGTGAATGCAGCTAAGGAGGAATTATAAATGTACCCTTTGTTTACCTCATGGTAACAAACTGTGTTGCATAACCTTTTATGCACAATGTATTACACTAATTTCCTTTACTTGATGCATTTTAAATACACAGTTTAAAGTCCATCTCAAAATATCTACAAAAGAGCATGTGGTATAGATAAATTCATTCAAAGTTATGACAAAATAGGAGGAGCTTCTAATTTATTATTTATATCTCACTTAATCGAGAAAGTGGGTGGTTTAGATTTTATATCACGACCTGTCAATATCTATAGTATGAGCTCCTGATTGGTTGGACTCTGACAGCCTTTACAAGGAAATAGAGAAAATTTAAATTATAAAAATCAGAGGGGATATGGAACATGTGGCCCACAGAAGTCAAAATTACAAGTTTATCTAAATATTTCCCTTTGAAAGTAAGAACTTAAAACTTAGATAATATAAAACTTTGAATCATAAGCTATGTTTTATGCCATGTTTATTCACATACATTGATACCAAAGTCGCTTGATTATAATAGGTTGTGACATGCACTCTGACTTCCGATGTACACATGGGTCTAATAAGAAAAAAATAAATTCTGATAACCAGAAAATATTTTTACAATTCCAATTAAAATCCAAATGCATTTGCAGTTTTAGTGTTGTGACCAGTTATGCCCCGTGCCAGTCCCCTCAAAACTGAGGTAAACACATGTTTATAGGTTTAATGCTTCTTTGCTCTGCTCCAAATCTTATCTTGAATTTAGTGAAAAAAGCGTACTGATGAATATAAAAACTTGGAAAAAGTGAGAAAGTTTCCATATTTGTTAGCATGGTATAAGAATCATGTTTTAAACATACACACTTACCAAGTGTTCTTTTCATTCTAAACTCAGCAAGTAGTTCGTTCAGTTCTTCTTTCGCTTTTCTTCTAGCTTTTATAAAAATACCCTTGAGGTTATCTTCCTTTTCCAATTGGTTTTGGAGGACATCATCTTTCAGAAAGAGGAAAAAAAGTGATAGATAGAAAAAGGCTAGAAAGTTTTGTTTCCCCAGAATATAAAACTAACACTTTTAGATAATTTAATACAGGTTTAGGGTTATATCTCAAGAAAAATTATTTCTGCAAGCAACACAGAGAATATACAAAACTCAAAAACCTTTACACCTAAATACTATTTTGTAAAACACAATAAGAATGACAAGTTCTTGATAAAAATAATTGATGTATACTTTGACTAACACAACCACGTTACTAGTTTTTATATTTATATGAAAATTCAATGATACTGAAACTACACATAAAAGTGAAACACACAGAATATCATATTGATGATAGTTATGATGTAATATAATTAAATTATCA